AACTTTTAACTTCAGTGATGCTGAGAGATCCACTCTGGATGCTGGGTGTTATTCTGAACATCAGGTCACTTACCTGAGGGCAGCCGTGGAGGCTTTCTATAGCCTAAGGTCTACACTGGATGGTCATTTTTTCAAACCAAATCAAATAACTGAGTAATTAAATCACTGACAAAACAACAGCATGGTATAATTAGTCTTCCTGTTATTACATGCAGCTTAAAACTGTTCTGTGCATAAAATTCAGAAGCTTTAGCTACTACAGAGAGAAGTTAACTCACACCTGATTGCCAAAAGTCTTCTCCTTAACCTACCAAGAACAGGTTATTAATCAGTTTTCCCATGTTGTCTTCAAGTGTTCATTGTTGGTCAACTGGAAAATGTCCTCAGTTTCTGGGTTCTTCCATAGATTGCTATATGAGCATTACCAGCTGTAGTACTGAGGAGAGTGCTCAGTGGAAGTGGGGCAATGGCCAGGGTCCTCACTGCCTTGCTCGTCATGTCTTATTCCAAACATTAGCAGGAAGATGGGTGCACAACCACTTCATTGAATACATGGTTGAAATAAATAACTATTGCTGAGCTTTTGGACTTTCAGTTCGCACAGGCAGTTCAGACTTCCAAAAGGCCTGTTAGAGCCTTTGTTGAAAAGAAAGGGCCATGGTGTTCTTGCACTGTTTTGACTGCATTGCAACAACCCTGGTGGCTGATGCCCAGGCATTCTTTATTGATGTACAGATCAAATGACAGCTGGGAGTGGCTTTCTGGGAGTGACGTCCCACGTACAGTGATGTCAGCAAAAGACTTAAAAAATTCAGGTGTGGCACAGTCTGCCAATTAAACTGATTAGTGCTTTGGTGAAGTTTTGAGAATGGAGCTTTGACTCTACAGCTTTGCTTACTGAAGAATTTTATGGAGTACTAGTTTTGCCTAGTAATGGTCTTGTACTTGGTGCCTTTGCTGAAGTGAGCTGTAAGTTGAGGTAGGACCATACCAGAGGGCATGTGCTAGCTGTCTTGTTATCTGAGAAATCTGCTTCTACCTTACAAATGATCCTGACTGCTTGGAAGCTGTGACACTGGAAGAAGTCCTGTGACTGGTGGGATCAGGATGGAGTGCTTTGCTGCATTGTTGGCAGAAGTCAAAGCTTGTCAGGAGTCAATGGAAGCTGGACAGAAGGAACTGAAGCATGACATGGAAACATCTCAAAACGAAATCAGAGCAGTGCTAGCACTGCAGAGGAGCCAGCAGCAGGTGAAAGAGGAGCTGAAAGCAGAGATGAAATCTAGCCACTTGGATATAAGAAATGTACTTGAGGAAATCCAACGAGTAAGGAAAGAGATGGAAGCTCGGTTAAATACTCAGGCTGATCTGGTTTTACTGATCAAAGAAGTGAGCACCAACTTAATATGTGTAGACAAGGCTTTCCAAAAGATGGAAGAGAGGCAGGAAGGTTTTACCAGCCTGCATCTTCCTACAAAAGAAAATGTTGAACAAGGATTTTTCTTTGAAAAATGCTTACACAAGACACACCTGAATTTTCAAAAGCCCATGGAAGCTGATAGTTTGGAAGAAGAACCTGAAAAGAAGGTGCTTAGTGGTAAGAAATGGTGATTGCAAAGGTGTGAGGAGAGAAGTGAGGTTGTTCTTATTTGTGCTTGTCAATAGTTTGTTTTCAGTATTTGGAATGTTTTTGGCAAATTGAATCTGTGGCTAAAGAAAATAATTTCTAGAAAATGTGGGCATTACCTGGTATACGTTGAGCAGAGAGAGGCTTTGATTTGGCTCTGCAAACAAAGGAGTGAGTGACAGACGTTTTACCTGGTAAACCAGCAGTGCACAAGATAGAGAGGCTTGGGATACCAGCAGGATGTGACAAGTCCTGAGGTAGCTGGCCATTCAAGTACTGCTTCAAGTACCGTGCAGTCCTGAAGCTCTTAAATGTAAAGCAGACTGATGTTTGAACAGTTTTCTGTTTCTTGTTTATGATCTCTAAATCAGAGAATCTGTGTATGGAAAACAGCTCTCTTCACAAAAAAAAAAAAAAAAAAGGATGGAGAAAAAGGATAATACCCCACATTGTTGGCTCTGTAGGGATACTGTGCTGCATGCAAAACTTGAGAATCTATGACTTCCAATATTCAGAAATTGAGCATCTCAAATAGATTTGGTACAGTGTTTTCTTGTCTACTGGAAAAGAGTCCAGAACCTAACCAGAGGGGGGAAAAACATTTTGCATTACCAGTCTGACTTGTCTAAAGGTGGCAATCAGAAATGGCAAAGCGAGGACTTGAGCTGGTAACCGATACCGTCTTTAATTCAGAGTCTGTCATTGATATGTTGTATCAGTGATTAGACTCTTGATGCTTTGTTTTAATGAAAGCATGGCTTTTGTTTTGACATCATAGCATGCCTTCTATACAAATCTGGAAACAATCTGTCATTGCCCAGAGGTACATGGGCCATAAATAAGCATTGGAGCGCTGCTGGTGTTAATCTGTAGAGGCATTTCATGCTATGGAGTTTTCATGCTAGCTGAGAAATACTTTTCAACATTTGAAGTGGTTGTGCATAGCACAAGTCTGATAAAATTGCCAACAGGACTGTCAGGGAATTTTTGTGTATGTTTTTTGTTCAGCTTTTTTTAGTATAGTATCCAGAGTTGGCTTGGGTGGATGTTGGAATAAACGCCTCTGAATAGTCTTGGTGTTCTGGGCACTGCAGTAAAACCAGTGATGTGAGACTGGCAAACTGGTGAAGGCCGGCTGAACTGTGGAAACAGCAGCTGTCTGACTCCTGTGTTGCTTGTGGTTAGCTGTTATATCAGTGTATTTAAATAAAAACAACTTCATTAGGTAACTGTATCTGAAGTAACTACTTTCCTGAGTACATCTTGTCTGCAGTCCTTTGTGGAAGTTTAGAGCAGCTTTGTCAGGATTGTAACAAATAGATGTTTGTCATTTCATATAGTTAAGAATGAGATGAGTATCTGTATTAGTGAATTTACAAGCATCTTTAAATGAGGGATAGTGCTCAAATTGTCTTTGCTTTGTAAGGGAAGCATTCAGAGAGGGAGGTGGAATAAATGAGAGAGTAGGAGTACATGAGCTACTTAGGTAGGGAAGGGCCAAATGTATGTGTTTATTCCCTAGTCTCTGCCTTGTTGGTTTGTTGTTGTTTTTTTTTTCCCCTCCCCTTGATTATTGTCTCTACTGACTAATTTACTTTAACAACCTTCATAAGCTGACAGGTATTTGCTACTAACACAGTGTTTGATGTGAGATTGCTGGGGATCTAACAAGGTGGCTATCAAATTTGAACCCTCTTTTCATGTAAAGAGATCTATTTCAAAAGGCATTGTGCCTGTTACTGTGAGAAAATAATTGCTTATGTTTGTTAAAAGGATAGTAAAAATAAGCTACCTAGAACTGGCAAATAAGCTTGATGTGCCTACTCTTCTGATCAGAATTTGGCTTTCAATTTGGGTTATGTTGACACCTTTTGACTGTTCTGCTATTAATCTGCAATGTGTGTTTCTAATTGAAAATTTACACCGCAACACTTAGCATCTCCTAAGTACGAGTGCAGTAAAATTTCCAAGAATGCAGGAGTATCTGAACATTATAAAAACAATGTGCTGACATTTCTCTACTTCTCTAACTAAAAGGGAAGGCAGAAAATCTTGCCTACAGTGGATTTATTTGAAAATGTGAAGACCCTTCACACCCTGCTCAGCAAGAGAAGTGCAGATGCCATAAGTATTTTGAATAGGAAACTTTATTTCACGTGTTTTAAAAATGAGTGAAGTCTATGCAGGACTGATGGATTAATGCAAGAGGTGATGTGTTGGTTAGATTAACTATAAAGCTTTGGCTCTCGGTTAATGTCTTCAGTTATATGACTGAGCCTTTCACTGCTGGGAGTATTCAAGTGTCACTCAACAAGCTTCATACCAGATGTTTGGGCTTCAAAAGGATTCATTAGCAACTACTTCTAGTTCATTAATTTGTCTCTTTTTTTTTTTTTTTTTTAATCTCCACGCGTTCCTGTTCTTATTTCCCCTAAATCTCACCTCTCAGGTTTTGTTACTTTATCTGGAAGGAATCTCGTTAAGTTGAAACTGTATAATCTGCATAGATGTCTTCATTAAAATGCCAAGGGATATATGTGTGTTGCATCAACATTTTATTGCAAAAGTGTTTGCTTGCTCCATGCATGATCAAAAGGGGAAGTGCTGTGCTAACTTTTCAGTCCAAAGGCAGGAGAAACCTGTAACATCTGTGGTGTTTATGAGTTGAGCAGTGGATTATGTAATGTGATTTCTTTCCTCTGACACTATGTGATTGTGTACTGTGAAGTGATTGAGGTTGCACTGTTACTGAGAGAATTAAATGAACTCTGTAATTCTTGGACTATAAGGAGTGGCAGGGCATTCTTGAAATATATTTCAAGTTGTAGAGCATTTTAAAGTACCATCTTTGTGAATGAAATTGCTGACACTAAGAAGATGTTGAAAGATTTTTCGTTAATGGAGCTCAAACCTGAGGTATAGAGTGGAGTTCTTGCAGCGAACATTTTGAAAGGAAAGAAAAGAGAAGTGAAAGTACGGAAGGAGTGCTGTAGTGTTCAGTTCTACGTTAGAGTGTAGAAAACATGAAGTTCACGTTGTAACAAAAATAAGAGACTATTAAGAAAGCAGTAAGTCACTGTATAGGTAGGATGACAGTGTGTTTTATGAGAATGTTTATTCAAAGCACAGCGCAAGTGGTATGCTGAAAGGTAAGACAGAATATGCGAAAGTAAGATTGAAGAGCGGTGTTGTATGTGAGGTTACGGTGCTAGAACCTAATCCAGCAGATGGTACTGTCTGCTCTGCAGTGCTATTGAAATAACTGTTTCTCCTAGTTAGTGTTTCGGGCAGTGTTTTCTTTTGTACCTATCTTTAAGCTTTGGTGAGACATGAAGTGTATATTAATTAATTGCTGTTGTTTTTGTTGTTTCAGTTGATAAGGGCAAGCAGCGGAGTCCTAAAAGCTCATGCATACAGACCCAAACCTCCACAGATGTGCATTCAACTGGCGCAAAAGGAGCTGAGTTGGCACAATACAAAACAAAATGTGAGAACCAAAGTGGAATCATCCTGCAGCTCAAAAAATTCTTGTCAAGCAGTAACCAGAAGTTTGAAGCGTTGACAGTTGTGATCCAGCACCTCCAGTCTGAGGTAAAAACTTAGAAATAATCTGTATGCTAGTTTTAGTTCGTTGAACTGTTCTCAACAGTGTCTTTGAATATATCAGTACACTGATAAATAATGTCTGTTTCCACTCCAGCTGCTGCATTCTAGTTTGTTCCTTCTCCTAGAATTTTTTTTTTTTTCATGTGTTACATTGCAACTGCAGTTAACTATGGGCATATTAACTATAGGCCTCCACCTAATGGTGCTATTATAACAGAATGCCCTGGTGTTAGTGCCGTTTTTAATAAACTTTAATATGTATTTGTAGTCTAGAAATGATTTTGTTAAGTTGCACATTTAATACAATGACAGCTATTTTTTCTCTAATTCAAATCTGGTCAATTCAGTAAGAGCAGCTGTTTGTTGTTTTTTTTTTTTCTTATTGAACTCTGGATTGGAACACTTTTCTCTAATATAATTTAATATTTTCAAAGCAATTTGATACACGCATGTATGTAATGCCTGTCATTTCAGATTAAATGGTGAAATTTTTCCTGCCAAATTTCTCCTTAGTCTTTTAATTAATTTATAATAAGCACTTTAATTTTTGCTAAGTTTGTGAACTTAAAAGTCTTGGCATAGGCTCTTCTCTCAAATATGTTGTGTTTGTAACATCTTAAATGTCAGGAATACTTTCGGTGTATCTTTATCTGAATACATAAGAAAGCTTCATATGCACCTATTTCTTTCAGGCTGTTTTACAATGTGTTTACAGTTTAAGCATGATTTCCTTGCAAATAATGGGAATGATTATTTTTAAAAGTGTCTAATACAGGAAAGAGAGAGGAGCTGTATGTAAGAAAGTAATAATTTTGCTGCTGCTTTTTTTCAGTATTATCTTGTGGGTGGAAAGAGGAGAAATTTCATTTATTTTTAATGATATAAAGTGAGTAATCAGGAAGAGCTGAGTCTATGCACTTGTAAACTGGGCTAAAAATGACATATATGTGCTTTTAGTTGTTTTACTACTTAATGTTGAAGTCCACTCCCAGGATGGTCTCAGTCTTACTGTATGTACTGTGGGAGTGAGAAGGACTGTTCTGCTATGGTTGATGTAGGCAATACTTTGAAATCTGCTAATTAGCTGGGGAAGCATTTTGTACAATTTCTGTATTTTAGTGAAAAATGTGAAGGGTAGTGGGTTTTTTGTTTGTTTCTCATTCCTTTCTGATGAAATGTGGATCTCCATCTAGCTAACCTAAGCTCAAATGGCCATGCATTTCTTTTTTGAAAGTAGATCCTGGAGGGTTTTTTTATGTAGTTTGCAAATGTGTTCAAATAGTCAAGGGAGAAATTTTCAGCTGAGTGTAGCTCCAGCTGCAAGCCCCTGCCTTAACTACCACAGAACCAGCAGAAAGTATTTTCAGCTTTTACAAAAGTAGCTTGCAGCTTTTCTAGTTGGGAAAAAATAAAAATAAAATCAAAAATATATATGCTTAGCTGAGCAACAAGGTTATGCTTCCATTCCTTCTACTTGAGCAAGTATGAAGTAACACAAAGCAGCCTGAGCTGATGAAATACCATGCTGTCATCAGAAGGTCCCACTCTTGGCTACTCTGGTGATTGTCTGCCCCTGCAGAAGGCTGATTCAGCTTGCAGCTGCCAGAAAGCTACCCAAGCCAAGGAGAGAGCATTTCTTTGCCAGGTTAGTTGCATGGACCCTTATTCCTGGTCAGAGGCAGTGCAAAAGGGCTATGGACAGTCTGTGCTGTCAGATAGAGAAAAGAGCTGGGCTGTGCTGCTACATTGCTTCAAAAATATAAATCTCAGCCAGAACTCCTTGACAAAATCTACCTCAGCCTCCTGTATTCCCCATGGAAGGAAGAGTTGACAAAGCTGAAGTTAGTAGGAGAGGTGATTCAACTGCTGCTACTTCTCCTTTTTTCCTCCAAGAGTTCCTGATGCATTCTGCTCAAAAGTTTAAAGTTGCTTTTTATGAGCTCATTTGAAATGGGATAGCCCTGCCAAAATTAGAATCTGCTGGCAATGACTTATGTCAGGTGCAGCCAACCCTCTGGAGTGAAGTTGGAAGGCTGCTAAGGGTTAAATGAGATTGTGTGAGGTTGCTGTGCTGTTTCCAGCTGAGCAGGAATCTGTCACAAAACTCTGTGTGAGTTCAAACGTGTTTGCTACAAGCATTATCGTGGAGCTGTCAATATTAACAGCTGGCTCTGATAATACTTTACCACTTGAGCTGTCAGGGTTTATCCAGATGATTTGTGTGCCTTTACCAAGACTGTTCTGAATTTGAGCAAGTGTCTTCAAGATGAGCCAGTCCACAATGATCATGTTGTAAAACCCAATTTCTGTTGAGCAGGAGATCCTATTGCAATGAATTTTCACTAGATTGAAACCCTGATGGCAGACTAAACACAATGATCAAGTTGTCTGGCAAGAGCATCAAACTGTACCAAGTTTTTCCACTGTTAGATAATTATGTGTACAGTATTAAAAGGATGTGTCAAACTGCAGTCTTATCACAAAAACAAGCTAGTCTGTCTAGATGGCTATTCCCCTCCTAAACCTATGGTAGTTCCTGCAACTCCATGACCTCTTCCTTTTTTTTTTAATTGTCCAAACAGGAAAAGTGACAGTACAGTGGAAATGATGAATATACAATAGGCTGACAAAGTGCAAAGGAAAGCAGTCTTCCATTAAACTTCAATTACATAATCTCTGAATTATGCAACACGACATTTGAATCTTAACTTTGAATTTATTTATTATCCCTTCAGTAGTAGTTGTGTACGCTGAAACCTTGAAAGTGTGGTTTAAGACGTCTGGTGAAAGTGAGGCTGTGGCACAACTTGCGGAATCTGCACTCACTCTGCAAGCTTGGTGCCCACCAGGCTGGGGAGAGCCAGCTCAGGAACCCCATCAGGAAGTTGGGGGGAGGGAGAGAGCACAAGAAAACAAAACAAAAAGCAACCAAACAACTACTATGGGTCTGGTTTTATAGGGCTGTCCATACTCAACATTTTATGGGCTGTTCCCCTGTGAACTCTGGGAAGGAGTGTTGGTGACAAACCACCAGTGCTTGTGTGAGGTAAGAATGTGGGCCTGAGAGGCCCACAGCAGTGTGGGCTCAGGTTAAACCGCTACAGCTTTGGGATTGTTGGATTATTGTTTTTTTTTTTTAATTTGTTTTACTGTGTAGGCTTTTTGTGGTTTTCATTTGTCACTTTGTTTTTGTCAGCTCAGTACTGGGTTGGTCTTAAAATTTGGTTTTGTCTCTTCTAAAGCTGCTGAAGGAAGACTTAACTCTCAAGTGAAGAGGAAAAGAGGAAATGTATTGCCTAAAATGTTCTGTTGATATTGAAAACGTGAATTGACTTTTTAGCCTCATATTTGAATGCATGCATCTTAACTGCCACTTAGAGAAGTAGTCAAGTTCAAAAAAAAAAAAAAAGTTTTACTGATACACAGTTGTGTTTTTCTCATTTAAGAAATAAATCTTTTCAAGTGCTTCAAGAGCTCCCAAAAGATTCAGTAGTAGAAGTAAGCTTCAGAATTGTGCCTGTGATTAAGAAACGAACAGAAATCAAGCTTTACTGCTGTTCTTCTCTTGACATGCTTATGAGAAGACTAGAGTTTACAACTCAAATTTTACTTTGAAATGAATATGGTGACTTCTTTAAGAAGTTTCCATCACAGGAGGAATGTGATTTGTGGGGTAAGGAGTGTGGACAGTAATATGGGGATACCGTTAATTGTGGATATGATGCAGGAAGCAACATAAGTAATGAGCTAGAAGTTGTGTGGCTGAAATAGTCTTTAGTATCTCTAGGTGGAAATAAAAAGACCACCCTTATTGTGTGAGCTACTATAACTGGCATTTCCTGACACACAGATGACTGTAACAGTCAAGGTATTTAGTTTTCTTGAGAATTTTCTGGCACTTGAAGAGTTTTTTCTGTGCACAGAGAAACATTCATCAGAATAATTTCTTCTGGCCTTTATGGAAGCATAACAGAAAATGTTCATTAGGTGAGAAACTTCTTACAGAGCTGAAGTACAAATTCCATCACTAAAACCTAAACCCTTAGTGGTAAACAGAAGAGTTTTGGAACAATCGTGTTTTTGGTATATAAATATGAAATATGTTGGCAGGGCCATTAAGCACAGATGCTTGTCTGTGAGTTTTTAAATTTATAATTTTGACTTTCCAGATCCTAACATCAAACTTGTCTGGTTTTCATTAGGATGCTCATTCAAAATGCACTTCTGCTCTTCTGCTCTGGATTTCGAAAGTATGGATGTCTCCTTCTTCAAAACAGAGAATGGGGGTATTTAATTGAGATAATTTGTGTTTCTTCAGATATAAAAAATACAAAGTATCTTCCCCTTTCAGAGCTGGGCTCTGGAAGCCTTTGCTGTCTTAGAGGGAGCTGTTGGAAAGCAAGGAGGTTTCAAATTATTCTGAAGTTCTCTGTGATGCGTAGCTGCTAACTGATAAAACCATTTTTAGCAACAGAATATTTTTGGCATCTTTGAAGTTTTGTGAGCTCATAACTTTCCAGCTTTTTGAAGATCACTTTGGTCCAGGTGTGGTTGAGTATTCAGAGCGGACAATTGGGAGAACTGGGAGTCCTGTCCTCTGCTACTCTGAACAAGTTGAGAGAACAAGTCTGTTGAGAAGACAAGTCTTTAACTTGAAAGCAGGCTTGAAGTCTCAGGCACCCAGCATTGCCTTCCATGAGGAAGCCTGTTCCCATCCCTACCTTGTTATTTCTCCTAATTTTTATTTATTTGTTTATTTAAGAAGATGCGAAGTTAATTACAAAGTAGCAAGCTAGATGTATCTCTTAAAATTTGAAATGAAAGGAGGGGCTAATGAAAGAAATAAAGTAACATCTTTGTGCTTTTCTATACTGTATTTGCAGGTGAAATTCTAAACGTCTTGAAAGGACTTAAAGCAGATGCTGTAATGTTTTGTTCAAACATAAAGTTTCGAATCTTAACATTCTAAAAAAACATAAGTGATT